TTTTACCTTTTCAGTGGGCTTACATATCAAATCTTTGTAAAAACCATTTGAGGCCAAAATATCCCACCCCCCCTTTGCATACATGGGCGATTTAAAGACGTGATTTCCCACAAACTGAGTATAAAAATGACATTTTTTATGCGCCGATTTCAGAAGCTAAAGTTTCATTCATGCTATCATAAAATTTGTGCACGATCCTTGTGCATTATTTTTTTTTTCGCGTGTGCATGGAAAGATGCCCCGCCGAAAGGTGACATGTTACTGCATGCAGGGTCGCTTTCCGCGCCAGTCAGTATTTCAACCGCAGTTAAGTAGTTGTTTGTGATAGAAAGCACATTTTTGCACGATAGTTGATATTTCATGTGGTTGGGCGCACGTGGAGTTGGGGAGACCTGTGGACATTAGGTTTTTCAAGCCAACATCTCAGTGTGTCTAAAGTATACAATTTCCCCCAACCTAAAATGTTCCATTCATTCAGATACCGATTTTCAAGAAAATGTACTTTCCTGCAAAAGTGCTCTAGGGAACACAATTTATTAACTCATTTGCGGAAGGGTTAATCTCCTTCGAAGGGAGCAAAATTAAATAGGAATAGTTACGCATCGGCTTTTGTTTAATCAAGTCACGGATATGTCAGTGGAGATCCTTGATCGGAATCAGGCACCTTGCAGGTTACGAACTAACTTGGAAGCACGTTTAATGGTTATCGGTTCTCCGACCCCTTAACCTCTACTAGTAGAAAGCACACTGTCAGGTTTTGGTTAGGGCCTTAATAGTTGTGATTCGACTCGTGCGGGGATTCGCGAGTTAAGCGTTTCGCAAAGTTTTCAATGAAGCCTTTTCATTTACTCAGAAATTGATGTCCGCTTGTGGAGTAAATCCTTTGGGACAAGACTTCTTAGGCATGGGCGAAGGTTTCAGCCAAATCTCGACTATAAACAACAGCTTTTCTGAGCCTTTAGCTGGTACCCAAATATTCGTATCAACTTTCGGGTTGGTCCTGGAAGGCTTTGTTCCGAAGGCTTTACGCCTAGTTAACCACTACTTTCTGAGAAGACAGACTGCAATTTAAAAATCTAAGCATCTACCGTAAAACACACAGGGGACATCAGGAAACCCACTGATGAGCCCGAATCCCTCGCATCTGTGTCAGGCGGCGGCACAAAATCGGCGATGTGAACCAATAACCGTGCAGTCAAGCCTAGTGAATCATACAACAAAACTCCTTTAGTACTATGGTTGAAAGCCACTGGGCGGGCCCCCTATGTCCAGCGTGTAAAGTTGGTAGTTGATAGCTAACCTGCCCGCAAAAATGAGTTATAGTGAGGGAATTTTGCGCAGGGTGGACTGCTCTCTGTTAACTCCGATCCTGTCGCAGCTGTAGGCCTGTGTTGAGCTCCTCGAAGACGACATAAGATGCATGTTTGCGCGTGCAGGAACATCGTGGTGTAATCACGACTTATCCATGCATCAACCTGATGAGTGAGTACCGAAAGTCATCCTTAGCTAGCATGCCTTTTGTCTCAATGAAACACCTTTAGAGTGCGTTAGGAATAAGGATGTTGGTCACTGTTTCCCCCTGCTAGAATTACAGCTTAGGCCTTGCTCATATGTGCTTTGCGCCAAACACTGCAGTCTGATGCAATAATTTAAACGCAATCCTAGTAATAGGTTGCCCACCTCAACTGCAAGAAGCCTCTGCTGTTTCACTGAGATTATGATCCCAACATATGCATGTGGGCACTACGAGCTCATTTCACTAACGCTGACACTGCCTCAATCTAATACAAAAGGCTTTGGTCCCACGGTAGGCACGCAGCATTAGCTCTTTCTGTCACTTGAGACCGCTTGACCCGCAACCAGGACTCACTTTTCTAGTGCTATTAAAGACTGCTTCAGTGACTAGAAGGCTACATTCCGAAGATAGTATTTCCTAGGGATGGTGCTGTTACGTTTTATCTGAAGCTTTTTGACTCCGAGGAACGATTAGTTCGCTTCTCTCCTGGTATCTCTAATGCAGGCTAGAATTGTTTCGACCGGTTTACCTCAAGCACCTGCAAGTGGTAAAGTAGATGTGCTAACTCATGAAATGTCAACCAAAATTTCGAAATGCATCCTCGTTTCGAAAAGATAAATTAATTAGTGTTGTAAAACTAATCATGATGCAGCATAAATCTATAATCATCCAGTTACCTCAAGGTGTCGGCTTTCGAAAAAACTTATTTTCGGCTGCATTCAAGGTCTATACTCTGCAAAAATGACTACTTAAGTAGCATGCAATTTTTCATCGATTTTCGATGCCCTTGAAAATTCAATTATATTTCATGGAAAACAGGCATAAAAATATTCATTCTTTTACTTATTCGGTAGAAAATCACATCTTCTTCCAAGTTCACACTCAAAAGAAGAGTATAAATCGGTTTTAAAAAGTTTCTAATTGTGAGATTTTTTAATACCGTTAAATGGCCGTTCATGAAACGTCATGTATCCGCATTTACGAATGTGGCTTGTAAAGTTAACAATATTGCTCAAATCCACTGCTTAATTTTATGAACCTCATATGGTCTCTTCTTAACACCGTAGAGAAATGCATGGTTTTCCGTACACGGAAAATATACGGCTTGTAGTTATGAAACCCTTAATGCAAGTGTAACAGCAGGTCGGGTTAAAAATTATTCGGGAATTAGAAAAGTTTTGTAAACCCGGATTACACTCTTCTCTTGAGTATAAAATTGGAAGAAGACGTGCTTTTCTACCGAATAAGTAAAAGAATGAATATTTTATGCATGTTTTCCATGAAATATAATTGAATTTTCAAGGGCATCGAAAATCATTGAGAAAATTGCATGCTACTTAAGTAGTCATTTTTTGCAGAGTATAGATTTTGCATGCAGCCGAAATTAAGTTCTTTCGAAAGCCGACACCCCGAGGTAACTGGATCATTATAAATTTATGCTGCATCATGGTTAGTTTTACAACACAACTTAATTTATCGTTTCGAAACGAGAACGCATTTCGAAATTTCGGTTGACATTTCATGAGTTAGCACATCTACTGTATGTTTGAAGGCCGTTCGACGTCGATTCATGTCATATTGACTATCTGCTGTCCCATCTCGCACGTTAATGTTCTTAAGCGCATGTGGCATCCTCAGTAGGCACACAAGCGCCTGTGCTGCAGATGCATTAGGCCAAAACTGGGGTCATACTGGTTCACGACCATTAAGGTACCCAGGTATACGTAGAATGGGAGCCAGGTCGTGTGTGGTGCGCGCAGTAGGGCCGCTTTTCTTTGTTAACTGCTGCACACACGCTTACCTCTGGTCATTTGGAC